ATATTTCCTTATCTTCACAAATTTTAGACAGTTTAAACTATGTTATAAAACTTTATTTGTTTCACCAGCAACCTTTTAATTGTAGCTGTCCCTTTTTCAAATCCCTTCCCATTTACTGGTAAAATTTGACTACAACAGTGGTGAACACAACATTTGACGACGGAAATAACAAGTGTAAATATGAAGAAAATTACGGAATTGCGATGTTCGAAGAGCTGGTTTAACTTTGGAATAACACAGGTTGGCTTGGTCTCTACCCAAAAACCAGTGTATACTTTGTTGTCCAATACTCTCAATTCCCTATAGTTTCCGAGATATACCAAACTAAAGGTGCAATTTTTGTCTGTATTTAAGGTTATAATAATAATTATAATAGCGTTTACTGTCCCTCGGTTACCCATTTACAGGTCAATTACATGAACAAAATAAACTAATAGTCTACGACAGAGTTTGGAAAGAAAATAATATATGTACTGATAAGCCATCCCTATTTACTACAATCAGAGAATATATATATATATATTAAAGCTTCCGCCTTTTGTTGGGTACTTCGACAAAATTTAAGCAAAGAGGACTCTTTATACTTTTTTAATTCTCTCTAGCTTTCAATGGACTTTGCCATCATCATCAGGAGCTGCAATTACAATGATCACAGTAGCAACAAAAGTGTAAAATGAATTTAAATTGTTAACATTCTGAAAATCACATCATCTGAAGTGATTTGGCAACGTTTGGCACACGCCCACAATTCGTTCCATCTTTCAACACAGACATTGACAACCTTCGGCCTTCTGTCAAAGGGTTTCATCTCACTCATTATTCCATGACCACCATTTTGTGCAATCATCAAGTGGCTTCACGATGTAATGCTCTAATGTTTTTTAAACAATTTTTAATCTGTTTTTAACTTGTTCTTGTCATATTTTATATAATTTTGACCATTGTACCATCTATCCAGCTCTCACCATGTTACTGGACATTTCCCTCATCCTATACGTAAACAACAATTAGCAACATCCTCACATACTACTGTAAGTTGAGTCAATTTAAATTCATTTTACACTTTTGTTGCTACTGTTATCATTGTAATTGCAGCTCCTGATGATGATGGCAAAGTCCATTGAAAGCTAGAGAGAATTAAAAAAGTATAAAGAGTCCTCTTTGCTTAAATTTTGTCGAAGTACCCAACAAAAGGCGGAAGCTTTAATTTTTCACCTAACTGGTCTAGACGACAATGACCACGTCTCAAGTTATATATATATATATATATATATATATATATATATAGTAGGAAAATAGTGGGCAAAATCCGCAAAAAGGAGAAAAGTTGATTCGAGCAGAAAACAGGATAGGTAACCCGAGCGATACGTATTTCTGCTAGCTGGCTTCATCAGGCCCGAAATGAATGCAAATGTGAAACTACAAGGGTAGATATACATGCCACACATCCGGATACGGGTGTAACATGAGGAAACGAAGATGGAGAGGGAAAAAAACGAACCCACAAGAGCCAACATTGTAGTATAAAATGTCTAGAAGACCTCGAATTTTCAAGGAGACATCTAACCACAACCACGCGGCCGGTTATAGCCACTTGCTGTGGTACTTCAAGCCCAAGGGATCTACAAAGAGAAAATGAAGGTATATAACAAAAAGTAGGAAAATAGTGGACAAAATCCGCAAAAAGGAGGAAAGTGGATTCGAGCAGAAAACAGGATAGGTAACCCGAGCGATACGTATTTCTGATGGTTGGCTTCAATGTCCATGGCCTTTTAAGCATTTTGCTAAAATGCCGAAACCTCTGATTCGACAAGCAAAAGAATTCGTCATTTCTTTGACGAAATGTTTTGAGACCGAACGAGATCATGGAGCTCCATTATATATATATAAAGTAGGAAAATAGTGGGCAAAATCCGCAAAAAGGAGAAAAGTTGATTCGAGCAAAAAATAGGATAGATAACCCGAGCGATACGTATTTCTGCTGGTTGGCTTCATCAGGCCCGAAATGAATGCAAATGTGAAACTACAAGGGTAGATACACATGCCACACATCCGGATACGGGTGTAACATGAGGAAACGAAGATGGAGAGGGAAAAAACGACCCCACAAGAGCCAACATTGTAGTATAAAATGGCTAGAAGACCTCGAATTTTCAAGGAGACATCTAACCACAACCACGCGGCCGGTTATAGCCACTTGCTGTGGTACTTCAAGCCGAAGGGATCTACAAAGAGAAAATGAAGGTAGATAACAAAAAGTAGGAAAATAGTGGACAAAATCCGCAAAAAGGAGGAAAGTGGATTCGAGCAGAAAACAGGATAGGTAACCCGAGCGATACGTATTTCTGCTGGTTGGCTTCAATGTCCATGTCCTTTTAAGCATTTCGCTAAAATGCCGAAACCTCTGATTCGACAAGCAAAAGAATTCGTCATTTCTGTGACGAAATGTTTTGAGACCGAACGAGATCCATTATTGCCTTTACAGTCCGTAAGAGAGACATTAGGTAGTAAATAAAATTTATGCTAGCTCTAGAGTTTACAAAACATACGCTCCGGTAAGGCATCGTGGACATTGTAAAACTTCCTAGGATCTAGTAGTTTTAATTGATGTGGCAACCATGTGGGTCGCTGTCGTTATTTGACGTTGTGACGTAACTGCTTTGATTCACTGAATAGACTATACATATCGCAATGACAGCTAATGAGATTTTTACACATAACATGCATAAGCTTTAAATTTCAAAATGCACATACGGGCTCTGTGTTGCTCAGGGTAAACTCCCTCAGTCTTTAAATAAAGAAATTTAAGGAACTTCTTCAATTTCGTGTATACAAACTCCACACACACTTATAAAAAAATAAAAAATTACTAAAGATACGTGACAGTTTCAAGGCGTCATACGTCAACACAAAACAATGAGATAAGAGAGGTGAGATGATAACTGTTTTTTTTAACAGAATAATTCGTAATGCTACATAACCTCAAATATAGGCAAACATCGCTATTTTTGCACTTTTAGGTTAGGATATACCAATTGAGAGATTTGGACCAAGGTTTCTGGATATAAGGGTCGGCTTACTTTTGTCGACTTCTGTAATTGATAATGGCTAATTTGGTTATACATTCCTGAGACATTTTTGTGTCGTAATATCTATCGCTTTAGGGATGGATGTCGCACATTAGGTGACCGTGATTGAAGAAAATTCACTGCGAAGTGTAGTTCGTATTATCAAAACATTCAAACGGAAAACAATGTCGAAATAAGACGCAGAAAGCGCCATCTATTACCAGAATCGACCACTGAGAGTGCGTATAGCAGATGTCGGTGAGAACTGTAAGGTCCGATTTTGCTAATCGCGTGGTCACAAATTCAACCAACGAGAAGGCGTCTTTGAAGTATGGATCTATCGAATATGGTAGTTTTTTTGTAAGATGTCTCTCAAACTAGATACTAATTATACGGTTTGTGTAAGATGGACTCCTAGTTCCTATGTCTTAAATCAGTTTAACTACCAAAACCTATTTTTCCATTTGCGAAAAAATCTTTGAAGGCAAATAAAATTACAGAATGTTTATTCTTTAAGAAACATCGAGTTAATATTCAATTTACTTCACTACCCTGTGAAATACCCTGTTCCTCAAGCCAGCCCTGTTAACAAGGAGCTCTCGCGCCATCTACTGGGCAGTAGCTGGACTACTTCTAGCCTTGCCATTATCACCGCGGCGCGGCGTTTCCTCGTCATCGACGAGACACAAATGTAAAATACGTTTTTGAGTTAAATCATCTGATATATGAAATATTTATTGATGTAATATGAGAATTATGAAAATAATAATTTTTCCGCAGTTTGGGAAACATTTTACAAGACCCTCGCCGAAATTCATTAGATCCACACTTTTTCATTGGTCAAATTTGTGCCAAAGCCTTAAATTTTGATAAGCACGCTCAATAATAAAATCGGGCCTAAAGATCTCAATTCGCGTTTGATAGCCAGGTGACCGCTAGCGGCTAACGATTCTGGCAGTATGGTAGATGTGGTATACTCACCATGAACCATGAACGATAGCTGATATATACTTTTGCAGTGGTCGATTTTGGTAATAGATGGCGTCTTATTTCGATATGTCTCATACCTCGGATAGAGGATAGTTGCTATGCTTTCGTTTGTTGTCCCAGAGACTAAGGGCCGTAGCGTCAGTACAATTTTAGGATTCTTTTATGGCCTCCTTGACTTTCATAGTCTTTTCTCTGTTTCAGAAAGGCTGGGCATTTCTAAATGTCTACTGTTCCTTGTCAGCGAAGTGAAGTTATGTTTTCTTTTTGAATTGTAGGGAATTTCAGGCTGATAAAACAGATGATATGTATCAAAAGCCTGAACAGTTTGATGCAAATAGATATTTGTAACTCAAAATGGAACGGAACAGTAGAAAACTAGAAATACCCCAGCCTTTCTGAAGGATAGATAAGACTATGAAAATCCAAGAGGCCATAAAGGCGTCCTACAATTGTAGGAACGACTGAGGATACGGCCATTGATCCATACCGTTCTGATGAGTTACCAAAAAACACGAAACAGCTATCCATGGTTGCCTCTCTCTGGGTGGATAGACGAAAGCACCTGATTGCCAACCTGAGTGACTTGGCCAAAAAGGACTCAATTCCGCAATTTTTTTTGTTTGTACTTCCTTGTGGTCAAAAGAAATCCGATGTTTGGCAAATCAATATTGGGTCGAGAAATATGCAGACGGCGAAGTTATATGAAAAAGTCTGCAGTGATTGAACAATATAATAAAAAGACTATCTTCACAATCTCTGGCTTCCTCTATCTGACAGTTTTAATATACAATTAACTGCTAGACGAGAGTAAACGGAAATTGTGGCGGCGATTATAATAAAAATGTCTTTCACAGACCAAATTGAGTTTGCCAAGCGGTATACGATTTTTGTTTTTTTTTTTTAGTAAAAACGCTGATTAGAATAAAGTTTGTCTTGTTGCAGGTTCAAAAACCTGGCATATGCGTTTAACGTTCGACAAGCTACCGGGCGGTTGCAACCTGCACCGGTGCAAGCTGTGCGGCAAAATAGTGACGCACATCCGCAATCACTATCACGTGCACTTCCCCGGCAGGTTCGAGTGCCCGCTATGCCGAGCCACGTACACTAGAAGCGACAACCTGCGCACACATTGCAAATTCAAGCATCCCAGGTACACAGACGCACATCCACATATACACCAACGTCAGTCTCGTTCGCCATTTTCACTCGATTTAGTGACTCGAACGAGTTCAAACTCGTACTGAATGCGGATCACATGTTCCCCTGTTTCCGCTCCCAGCCCGGCGCCTCCAGCGTTGCCAGATCGAACGCTACGATGCCAGTCTCATTACTTAATTTACAGACCTCGTATAACGCGAAAGTATCTTTTCTAAGAACAAAATTAAAATAGGTAACGTTAAATTTTAGTTTAGTTTGGTTAGATTAAAGATTCAGTTGATCCCTTTCAATATCCATCAAAACAATCGGTTTGTCTCCAATATTTTGCAATTTTCAATGTTGTTGTCTGTTAAGAAACCTTACATTGGGACTGAGTGCGCAATGACGCAACAAGTGAAATGAAAAACCAAAATTATATCACAACTGTCCAAATATCCAATATCCAAATATCCAAACGAAAACATTACCTAATTAAATTGAATAATAACTTAAATGATCCTAAGCGGCTTTGGACAACTATTGATGAGATTACTGGGAAAACAAAATTTAAAGAGTGTGTCACTGAGTTAAATACAACATCGGGAACAGTATTAAAAAATACACAACGATGAATTTGTACAATTCTTTACTGACATAGGCGAAAATTTAACAAGTAATATACAAGCAAATGTACAAAATACTCAGCCTCCAAAAAGAACTTTGAACTCATTTATTTTGGATAAAGTCGAACAATGTGAAGTATACACCACTGTTATGTCCTTAAAAAATCGGAAAAGTCCTGGGTTCGATGGTATTAAAAGCGAACATTTGAAAAATATAGCCGAGGACATAACAGAACCACTCACTTACCTAATCAACAAATGCTTTGAATCTGGGATATATCCCTCAATTTTAAAAAAAGGTAATATAATACCGATACATAAATCAGGAACAAAAACAGATGTTAACAACTATAGACCAATATCAATAGTATCCAGTGTAGCAAAGGTTTTTGAAAAAGTTTTATCTACTAGAATGATTCGATACCTCACAAAATTCAAAATTTTAAGTGAAAATCAATATGGATTTACAGAAGGGAAGGCTACATCGGACGCAATAACTAAAATTGTAAATCAAATACATCAAAATATTGATAACAGAATCCCTTCAATCTGCATTTTTGTTGATTTAAAGAAAGCTTTCGACACAGTTAATCACAAATTATTATTAGAAGCATTGGAGAGAATTGGTTTCAGAGGAAACGCGTACTCACTGATCGAAAGTTATTTGTCAAATCGCCCACAATCTGTGCAGATATCAGGATCATTTAGTAAAGAAATGTATATTAAGTGTGGTGTCCCACAAGGAACTGTCTTAGGTCCGCTGTTATTCAATATATATTTAAATGATATTTTCCAAATTAATTGTGTTGGCAAAATAACTAGTTTTACAGATGATACTGCAATGTTATATGAAGGCACTGACTGGTCTGATCTGAAAAATGTAATTGAAAATGATTTTATCAAAATTATTCCGTGGTTTAACAGTAGAAAATTAAGCATTAACTACTCTAAAACACATTTTTTACCATTTGGATCTTATGCTAGACATCTGCCAAATTACACAAATTTCTCCTTCAACATTATTGATAAAAAAATGCAAATTAATAGAGCGCCCAACATAAAATACCTTGGAGTGGTCTTGGATCCTCACTTACGATGGGACATCCATGTCAATTATATTTTAAAGAACGTTAGATTTGTATCCTACAAAATTAAATACCTTGGGAATATATTGACAGAAAAATATCTTCGAACATTATACTATGCACTGATTGAGCATCATCTCACATATGGTATATTAGCATGGGGAGCTGCATGTTCCTCACATATCTATAATTTAGATGTTTTTCAAAAAAGTATTCTAAAAATGATATTTAAAAAACCGAAACTTTATCCCACTGAAAAATTATACGCAGATGTTCGAATGTATGATATAAGACAGCTTTATTTCTTACACAGTATCACTCACTACCATAAATTTGTAAACACCGACCAAAAAATTAAACATAATCATTATACCAGGTACAAAATTCGTGGCACAGTAGTTCCTCAACCGCATAAATCTATAATGCAGCGATCATATCTCTATTTAGCGCCTAAATTTTATGAAATTATACCTGAAGACTTAAAAGATTTACGTTTCGGAAATTGTTTCAAAAGAAATTTAAAAAAGTGGCTACATTCTATATCTAGGACTGAAATTCATAAACTCATAAATACGAACATCAACTAAATACATAATCTACTGTAGCTAATTTTTGTCCTTTTTTGTCATTTGCATTCTACAGTTTCAACTTAAATTATTGGTCCATGTACAGGCGATGCCTTCTATTGGGCCTGTTTTGATTTTATATTTATTTACTCATATTGTTTGTTATCTTTGTACATTGAGTAAATAAATATTATTATTATTATTATAATATGGATAAAAAGATTTGCTCTTATTCAGTTTAAACTGCTTTTTGCAATCCTCAAAAACCTTCACCATGTTCGGCAACTGTCTGGGACGCTAGGATTGTATGGTACCCACGCACTTTTTATATGTCTCTGACTTTTGGCGGAAGCTTAAAATCTATGGCAGAAGTAGGGTCTTATTCTGAAGGCACCACGTAGAAAAATTTGATACATCACAGCTTTGGTGCGAAACAGTAACCTCAAAAAAGCAGTTTTTACCCGTTTTTGCGTTTTAGATTTCGACCTTAAAAGGTTTCCCATATCCCAGATTAATCGTTATGAAACATAAAAGGAGGTACTGCTTTTTGTTTTCTGAAAATATTAAAAAATAACCCGTATTTAGGTGCTGAAATGACTATGAAGTTTTCTATCAAAATTCGACATTTTTTCCGAAGTTCCTACTAATTTATCCGAAATAATCCCAGTAACTTAAAATTCTGAAAAAAACTTCAGTGTCATCAGATTTTGGGAGTCATTACAACCACAAAATAGGGATAACTTTTGAATATTGTCAAAAAAGAAAAAGTAATGCCTCTTCTGGTGTTTGATAACGATTAATTTAATGTCTGGGAAACCTCTTCAGATTTATTGTCGAAATCGGAATCCAATACGCAGAAACAGAAATTTTATAATAATAATAAATCATGGCCTTTATTCGTCACAGCATTACAAAATAATAGACTTGATAGTAAGAATAAAAGAGAACGATGGAAAGGTGGAGTGTCGTCTTATTTTGTGTTTCAAACCGAAATAAAAACATAGACACAATTTATAAGCTACTATAAAGAGAAAAACATGTACGTAGTTTTAAGATGGCATACTTCACAACATTGATCACAAGCTAAAAATATTACATTTCTCAAAAAAAGGAAACAATCAATTACCTACCTATAGAGATGCGTAAAGTTAAAGTCTAGCCATCTGATCTTTAACCGTTTTTAAAAGTTGCTTAGTCTGGATTATTTATACTCAGTTGACAAGACGTTATATAGTTGGGTGCCCAGTACGAGAAACTACGTGTGAACAATTTTGGGGTCATTCTTTTATTTTTGGACTTTGTGGGCATTTTTTAATACCTACCATTCATAGAAAACAACTGAAAACACTCAGGACATCTAGGAGGCTAAATATTGATACCGACGAAACTATAATTTTGGAAAATACTTCATTTAGACATGTGTATAAAATCGAGGCAAAATGGCGAACAAAGATACTGTTAATTATATAAAAACAACAATTTTGTAACTCAGAATTCAGTTAGGTCAAGATTTCATATTAACTTATTCTTATTTTATATACTCAGTGACATTAGAAGTGTTACACAAAGAAAAAATAATTTCTTGATTTTTTTGGCAATAGGGTAGTCTTACATCAAGAATGAAACGATAGCATTCTCACGAAATTTTATTGACAAGTAATAAGAAAAAAAAAATAATGGACCCCTGTCTATACATCGACAAAATGGGATGATCGATGTTGGATTGCAGCACTTCATTCCAAGCAACAACAGAGTCTCTGGTGCAAAGTGGATAGTCTCCTCCCCATCATATCCCATAGATGTTCGATGGGATTTAAATGCGGTGAACGGGGTGGCCACTTGAAAAAAGTCCCTAGTACGTCGAGCTCTATGGGGACATGCGTTTTCTTGCTCAAGCACGACGTATGGATGGCCCTGTAGATACGGCAGTAAAGTGGTTTGTAGGTCACCATCAACATAACGCGCAGCAGTCATACTGCCTTGAACGAGGAGAAGGGGTGATCGGCTACCAAAGGCAACAGCCCCCAAACCGTTACTCCAACAGTTCTGTCAACAGCAAATCCAATATCACGCCGTTCCCCCTTCTACGACCATCGTGCGTATCTAGACAGAATCGCGATTCACCGCTGAAGATGACATTATGCCATTCTACCTCCCAATGTTGCCGTTTTCTGCCAGTTCAAACGTTGACGACAGTGGTCCGCAGTCAGAGGAAGCACTAACCGTAATAATTCTACCCCTGTCAAAGTCGCTAACACGGTGATAATTTGGACGTCATCGAACTCGAGACATTTTGTTATGCTTAACACTAGTAAATTAAAGGGCAATAACTAAAAATATCTGTACTGCTCAGCTCACAGTAACTGCTTTCTCCACAGAAGCTAAAAGATAACATTTTCACAAGTATAAACAAAAACAAAGACAAAACGTTGACGTTGTTACAACAGCATGAGGGTGTAAACGTTATGATAGTCATTATTTAAATGGGTGATACAGGGGGTTAAAAGAAGCAAAGAGTTTCATATAACATGCGGGTCAAAACGGCATTTTTTATAGAAAAACGACTTTAAAGTAAAATAAAATCCGACAACGCCGCAGTGTAAATAAAGATGGAGTTTGTTATTTTTGGCTCTCAGGTATTATTTCATTATTTGATAATGTACTCGTAAAATGCAAACAATTAAAAGAAAACGGACTTACCACTAACTGTTCAGCCGCATTAATTTTTTTTTTCGCGAAGTTATGCTTCAGTGGTTATTGTACCAGCCCCATAAACCGTCCCTTTAAGTTCTCCCCAATACCAGAAAACCATCGGATTGAGGTCAGGAGATCTTGCTGGCCATTTTCGAGGATCAGGAGTATTTCGACCGAACCAGCGATTTGGATAATGTTCATTCAAATACTGAATGACGCCTCTAAAAATGTGTGGTGCCTGAAACCACAAATTTTGTCTCCGTTGTAATGGCATGTTGTCTAAGCTCTGTTCCAAAAGTTCTGGTAGGTTATTGGCTAGAAAGCTAAGGTATCCTTCTCCTGACAACTTTAGGGTTAACTCGAAAGGGCCAATTACCTGATCATCAAGAATACCCGCCAAAATATTTATTTTAAAACGTTGTTGGAAATGACCTTTACAAATGGTATGGGATAAAGCAAATTTTCCCGTAGGATTCTATGGGCTATGGTATGCGATAGTCCTACGCGGCGGCCTAATTCCCGAGTGCTGATATCTGCATTGATTTCCACGATATTTAAAATTTGTTGCTGCTGCTCTACAGTAACCTGTCTTTCACGAGTGCGAATATTAGTCGGCTGAACACTTCCTGTATCTCGAAGTCTGTGGTACACTTGCGCAAATGTCCTTCTGTCTGACTAGCTTCACCGTGAACTAACATGTCGGCGAACTCTTGATACGAGAACATTGTAAATAAACACGACGACGTACGCGAACAAAAACAAAACAACACGCCCGATGCTCCGCTCGACAAAACGATAAAGTAATTTATCTGTGCAAAACGATAACTAACCACTGTTACCGTTTGCGATCGATTGCCGGTTCGATAAGAGTGATGAAAGACCGACGCGCTGTTGTCACGTGTGTTTTAACTATTTAATTTAATGAAACTTACTGACTACAAACTTTGGCTTAACTTAGAAAAACTTAATGCCATTGATTTGCTGATCTCCCAATTTAAAAACGTTTTAAATTTAAAAGCACTTAAGTTGTAAACTATAAAGCCATTTAGACGAAAATTTATTGAGTTTTGGACTATGGGTCATATGAACTTTTTGTCCCTCTATTACCCATTTCATTAATGACTAAACGTTTACACTCTGTATAGTCAGTATGTTGCCAAAAAAACATGTTGAAATTATTTGATCTGGGTGTAACACTTCTAATGTCACTGAGTATATAATCGTACGATTTGTGTAAGATGCTCTACAGTATATTCAGATAAGAGATAGACCGGACATAAACAAGACCACGTGATCATCGAACGCTGTAACATTCGGCAGGGACGTATTAAGAGTCACGCTGTACATATTTTAGATAGTAGATGCTGCTTTGCGTAACTTTGTAGTAAATTAGCACAATTCGATGTGTATACGATAGGTGATGGATATAGGATCATGTGGGGGTGGGGTAAGAAATATATAATGATGTAAACATACATAAGGGTTTCAAAATTTTCGCTTCGATTTCCAGCTTCGGATGCCGTCTGATGTTTGGTGAAATACAGTCGAATATAATCTCAAAATGGCGTTTAAATTAGCCTAAATTAAAAATAATCGTATATCTCTTAAAATTGCTTTTAGAATATTGATTAGTATATTTTTTGATTTCTAGGTAAATATGTAACCAAATTAAAACGTTCAAAACGTTAAAAAATGTGCATGGTTGAACATTGTCAGAAAGTAAATTCTTGAATAGGTTTTGAAAAAATGGGTTCAAAAATGTCAATAATTAATTAAAAAATACAGTAGCTTTATAATTACTTATAACTTACCGAATTTGATGAACGGCATCTTTTATTGGAAAGATGAGCTTGATGAGCTTTCATCATCGCTACTGCCTGAAGCACCAACGTCAATAATGAATGGCTCGACTTGTTCCTCTAAAATATTGTCCAGTTCCCACATTCTCTTTTCAACTTTGTCTTTCACGTGCTCAATGCAGTTTTACCATTTTTGCGCTGTTATTAATTCTAGTGCCTTTTTGAAAAGTCCTTTGAGGTCACAAAATTTTAAAGTTGTATTGTGCTTAGCTATATAATTTTTAACCTCTGCCCATATGAGCTCAATGGGATTGAGCTCCCAATGGTATGGAGGTAAACGGAGCACAGTTTTATTTTGACTTGCTGCCATTTCGTCAATGGCGTATTTTTGATATTCCGCCTTGTGATCCTTGACAATTCTTAATAATTGTACTTTCAGCATTGCTTCTTCAAAGTTGATATTTTTCGAGCGGAGCCAATTTTGAACATCAACTTTCCTTGAAGCCGTTGTTGGGACCTTCTCCATTCTTCGAGAATGATAAGGCGCATTATCCAACACAATTAACAACAAATCCATCCTCACTGCCAATATGGCAGATAATGAGTCTTTTCCCTTTACCTGGAAATCGAAGTACTAACTGGTGTAGATTTATTTCAATAAGTGAACCTTTTTCAAATGTTTTCATCAAATTCAGCGAAAAAACATTGAGACATGAGTATTAGATTGCTATAATTGGGATTATTTAGTCATATTGAAAGAAAGAATATTGAACGTCGTATGATTAAGCTTAAAGTATGAATTAAAATGATTAGAAATATTAGGAACGGTACACAATATAAAACTTAGTAACTTTTTTTAAGTTTATAATATTCGACATATTTTAAGATTATATTAAAAAATTATTGAAATATCGAAAACACATAAAAACATGGCTTAAAAAAGTTCTAACAAATGAAAATGAGAATAAAACATCCACGCATTTTATCGAAAGTTATAAAAGTTTTGTTACTTGTAATATGTTTTATCTGCCCCCTGGAATTAATGTTTAGAACCTTGTTCCCAAGGTTTGAAAAACATCCGATTGTTGTCTATTACTCGTATTTACCTGCTGGATTTTTTAATCCGGTGGACAGTCCATCTAGAAAGGCCCTCCTGGATGAAGTTACAGAATCATCAACCCATACTTTACTTGTAGTGTGTCCTGCGTTTACTCACGTTTCATCAAGGTAATAAATCTTCCTGTTTTGATTTCTATATTTCCCAATTTTTGTTAAATAATCCCTCCTCCATAGCACAATTTCTTCTCTATCCAGTAGTAAACTATTACGACCCCGTTTTTTCCATTTGAAATTTAAATGCTTCAGTAACGCATGGAAAGTTGATCGTTTGAAATTTGGCAACGTTGTATCTCCATTTACCTCCTGCAGTACTTTATCTATAGTAGGTATTTCATTCCTAACGAAGAATTCATGCACTTTCCTCCTAATCGCATGCTTATCAGCTTCATCCAATGATTTAACAATACTTTTGCGATGTTTACTGGTCATTGGCTCAGAAAAGGTGCGATTTTTTTTGTATTGTCTTAACACATTAAACACTGATGCGCGACACACCCCAACTTTGTGAGAAACCTTCACAACAATTTCTTTGATGGTTGATGCCTCGTTCTCCTCGCGCTCGATCTTATATATATTCAAAATGACCTCTTTCATTTCTGCACTCAGGTGTCTTTTTTTAGAGCGTTTCCTAGGTGGACTACAGGAGTTTCAGTACTACTGGGCATTTTGCGCAAGCAGTTGATAACAATAACAATCAATAACAAGGTATAACAATAACAACGACAAACTCAACAACTTAATAAGAAAACAAACGAAAACGTCCAAAGAAATATCAAATTGCAATGATGCACACGATATACGTAACACGTCTGAACCTGAATGTGACTCTGCCTTGATACGACTGCTCTGCCGCTCGGCATAGGCATTTAATTGCGAATTGACCAATGAGGGCTCCTGTTTTACGTCGAGACGGCGGCGTTAGCGTGAAAATCACCCGAACCTTTTGTTTACATCCGGTCTATCTCTTATCTGAATATACTGTAGTACGATCCGGATCAATATTTTAGATCCCGCGGGTCAATAGTAAAGTCGGGCCAAAGATCTTCAAATGGAAGTAGATCTAATATCTGCGCAACTATTATAAAAACATTAACTTTTAAAATTGCCTAACGAGTAATAGTGCACTCTTGACCTGACAAGACTTTGGTGTAAACGACTTCTCGATAGACGTTATTTCCTTATCCGCTATGCTCCCCAGGTACAACCCGGACACCCGCAAATTCGACCAGACCGGCGGCGGCGCCGGCCAGCAACCGCCCACGGCCGCCCAATTGCAACAGTCCGTGCAGCCCCAACAACAACAGCTGCAACCCGCAGGCGACGGAGGCACGCCGGCCGACTGATTTTGGCTGTACTATTATTTCTATTGCAGGGCGATGTGCGAATCGTAGTAGTACTGAGTGTGTGGAGGAGTCGCAACGCTGCTCGATCGGGTCTGATTGGAGGTCTTGTTCGAACGGGAGGAGCGAATTGTAAACGGGCGGGAGAGAGTTGGAGAGGTATCGCGAATACTGATTGGGAGTGGCCCGGTTTTTCAGTCGCAGGATAATTACGTCTTATAGTTATGCGTGAAAAAGCGTTTTTCAGTATCAGGTTTATAGTAAAACGGTAGCAGACCATCTGTGAGGTAACTAGAAAGGATCTGTCAAAATACTTGCGATTGAAAAACTGGGCATTACGGTTGAGGTCAAGCTTGTCCTAAAGCGGTAGTTGACCTCAACCAGAGGACCCTACATGGGATAACTACAAAGTGATGGTCAAACCGCAATTCCTAACCTTATTTACTATGACAGTGATATAAGTTGTCATAGATGACACGAGACATAAATATGAAACGCGTAGAACACAATAATTCAGGCATAAAAGTAGCTTAGCCGTACAAAAGTAACCGATAGTTAACTTCCAAGCCGTCTTGAAAGTTAACCAGCGATTCTGACAGTAGGTTGACAGCTGGTTGGGTCGGCGAGCATTTTTTTTCTCTAAAAATACCCTCTGTTGAGGATGGGCTGATGAGAAAAATCGTATGCAGATTACTGTCCTAGCACGGTGGCACCGTGGTGAGTACCCACGAGACAGCGTGGTGCAACTAGAAAATGATTGAAGATCCGGTTTGTTATTATTATTATTATTATGATAATTGAGATGAGCAGAGTACACAGTTCTATAAGCTCATGCAGTAAATATAGTGTACGGACACGTAACACAAATACATCAAATAGAAAAAAATAAAAAAAGACAGTTCATAGCTATAAAGTTTGTACACTCCTCCAGCTATCATACTGCACTTTGAAGCTATTAACTGAAGTAGCACCAACGACACTTTCAGGTAAACTATTCCAGGTGTTGAATATGCGGTTGGGAAGAAACCACTGTCGGACTGTTGTTTTAAATGGCTCCTTATGCAATTTGAAGCTGTGTCCGCGTAGATTGCTGCGCGACAGACGGTATAGATGCATGAGGTTGGTGCCCATCAAACCATGAAGTATCCTGAACGTAACTATAAGATCGCCACGAAGTCTTCGCTCAGAGAATGAGGTCAGGTTGAATAATGCAAGGCGATCTTCATAGCTTGGTCTTCGTGCTCCAAAAGGGATACGAGTAGCCCGACGCTGTACTGATTCGACGAGATTTCTATCGCGCAGAAGCACAGTGTCCCATACCGGGCCAGCGAATTCAAGAATTGGCCTCACGAATGCCTTGTAAATGTAGGCGCAAGTGTTGACATCGGATCCCTTGAAAGACCTCTCCAGCATGTATAGAAGTTTCTTGGCTTTTGATATAACGTGGTGAATATGCTCTGACCAGGAAAGACGATCGTTGACTATAACGCCCAGATCAGTGTGGCTGGAAACTGCTTCGATGTTGTGGTCAGAGATCTTGTATGTAAATCGCGGATTTGTCTTCCCGAGGTGAAGGACACAACACTTAGTTAGATTTAAGGGTAAAAGCCAACTGACTGACCATTGACAAACAATATCAAGATCTCGTTGAAGCATAGCAGAATTTACGACAGTATTGTAAATCTTGGTGTCGTCGGCATAAGCTGAACATGTGGAGGAAATCAATGCGGGCAGGTCACTTGTATACAGAAGGAACAGCACTGGCCCCAAGACAGAGCCTTGAGGAACTCCACTTGCTACATGATGAAGGTGACACTGGCTATCACTGACGCGCACAGAGAAAGTCCCTTCTCTTGATGAGGGCATCAATCAGCTTGGAAGAACAAAGCAACAGTGCCGTGGTTCGGATAGAATCTGTATCTAACAGTGAACGTGATGATTACTTGTTGGCGCACTCTTTCTAACAAAATTATTGCGCGCGTCTTTCTCGTAGGCAGTGAAACCCGGCAGATCTCAAGCGTAGATTATTCGCACTGTATATCGTCTGTAGAATTTTGTACGTTCGATATAATTCTTCCTGAAGCCAACCTAATACTATATTATAGCGTCCAAAAAATTATTCGAGATGAAACATCGAGAGGTGATGTAAGAGAAGTGACTGTTTCTCTATATACACTTTGAAAATGTTAGTGGATCAAAGATGGCGGTGTACCGGACTATATGAGCACCTAAAGTCTGTGAACGTCAAGTTTGACCTAACAGACAAGGTTAAAAGTCGCTCTAAAAAACGTAATATCCGGATCTCATAAATCAAGACAAAGTTTAACCTAGATCCTTTGCGATCACACAGCATAGAATATACCTATTTTTAAAATTTTTCAAACATTAAGGGCCGTATCGTCAGTTGTTCCTACAATTGTTGGACGCCTTTATGGCCTCCTTGATTTTCATAGTTTTCTACTGTTCCGTGTCAGCGCTCTAGTTTGAGGTTATGTTACAAATATCTATTTGCATCAAATTGTTAATGCTTTTGATCTATATCAGTCTGAAATGTCCTACAATCTAAAAAGAAAACGTAACCTGACAATATGAGAGAATTGACACTGACACGGAACAGTAGAAATGTAGAAATACCCCAGTATTTCTGAAAGAGAAAAAATACAATGGAAATCAAGGATATCATAAAGGAGTCCTACATTTTTAGGAACAATGGACGATACGGCCCTAAATCAAAATTGGTCAACATTAGCAAAAAGTTACCGAAGGCCATTTTTTGGTCAGAATGATTAGATAACCTGAAAAAAATCCGTCGAGACAAAAAAAATCGTAATCTATTTGAAAAAAACTGTGTATATTAAATGCCTAAAAAAATAGATAAAAATTATTTTTGGGGTAGCTAAATATCGAGATAAATATAAAATATCATAATTTATTGAATTTGAGTCTTATTAAAGTCCTCTGAACTGCCTTGCAAGGCTCCATACAAGACCAATATAATAAATTAATCGTTTAACCTAAAACTAACATTGCGATCAAAATATCTGCTTATAATAGTTAAACTTTCATCAAAATGAAACATTGACATCGCACATCTCTTTTTTTTTCAACACTCTGTTTGAAGGAGTGTTTTCGTTTGAACGTTTCGTAAATGACTGAAAAACAATATACACTACTCAAAAAAAGTAAGGGGACAAGAAATAATCCAAAATTTTTCGGAGATTTTTGAGTGAAAAATGGTCGTACCTAGGCTTTAAAAAAAGAATTTTGAAGCGTTAAGATTCTAGTTTTCACTCTTTTTAGCCGAAAAATTTCAGGAGCAACGGTTCTCATGAAACTTTTACAGATAGAGAAAATTATTTTTGAGGTAGCTAAATATCGAGATAAATATAAAATATCATAATTTATTGAATTTGAGTCTTATTAAAGTCCTCTGAACTGCCTTGCAAGGCTCCATACAAGACCAATATAATAAATTAGTCGTTTAACCTAAAACTAACATTGCGATCAAAATATCTGCTTATAATAGTTACACTTTCATCAAAATGAAACATTAACATCGCACATCTCTTTTTTTTCAACACTCTGTTTGAAGGAGTGTTTTCGTTTGAACGTTTCGTAAATGACTGAAAAACAATATACACTACTCAAAAAAAGTAAGGGGACAAGAAAGAATCCAAAATTTTTCGGAGGTTTTTGAGTGAAAAAAGGTCGTACCTAGACTTTAAAAAAAGAATTTTGAAGCGTTAAGATTCTAGCTTTCACTCTTTTTAGCCGAAAAATTTCAGGAGCAACGGTTCTCATGAAACTTTTACAGATAGAGAAAATTATTTTTGAGGTAGCTAAATATCGAGATAAATATAAAATATCATAATTTATTGAATTTGAGTCTTATTAAAGTCCTCTGAACTGCCTTGCAAGGCGCCATACAAGACCAATATAATAAATTAGTCGTTTAACCTAAAACTAACATTGCGATCAAAATATCTGCTAATAATAGTTAAACTTTCATCAAAATGAAACATTAACATCGCACATCTCTTTTTTTTTCAACACTCTGTTTGAAGGAGTGTTTTCGTTTGAACGTTTCGTAAATGACTGAAAAACAATATACACTACTCAAAAAAAGTAAGGGGACAAGAAAGAATCCAAAATTTTTCGGAGGTTTTTGAGTGAAAAATGGTCGTACCTAGACTTTAAAAAAAGAATTTTGAAGCGTTAAGATTCTAGCTTTCACTCTTTTTAGCCGAAAAATTTCAGGAGCAACGGTTCTCATGAAACTTTTACAGATAGAGAAAATTATTTTTGAGGTAGCTAAATATCGAGATAAATATAAAATATCATAATTTATTGAATTTGAGTCTTATTAAAGTCCTCTGAACTGCCTTGCAAGGCTCCATACAAGACCAATATAATAAATTAGTCGTTTAACCTAAAACTAACATTGCGATCAAAATATCTGCTAATAATAGTTAAACTTTCATCAAAATGAAACATTAACATCGCACATCTCTTTTTTTTTCAACACTCTGTTTGAAGGAGTGTTTTCGTTTGAACGTTTCGTAAATGACTGAAAAACAATATACACTACTCAAAAAAAGTAAGGGGACAAGAAATAATCCAAAATTTTTCGGAGATTTTTGAGTGAATAATGGTCGTACCTAGGCTTTAAAAAAAGAATTTTGAAGCGTTAAGATTCTAGTTTTCACTCTTTTTAGCCGAAAAATTTCAGGAGCAACGGTTCTCATGAAACGTTTGCAACAATGGACGATACGGCCCTAAACCGGTTATAACTCAAAAATGGTCAACATTAGCAAAAAGTTACCGGGGGCCTTTTTTGGTCAGAATGATCTAGATAACCTGAAAAAAATCCGTTCGGGCAAAAAAAATCGTAATTTATTCGAAAAAAACTGTGTATATTAAATGCCTAAAAACATCGATAAAAATTATTTTTGAGGTAGCTAAATATCGAGATAAATATAAAATATCATAATTTATTGAATTTGAGTCTTATTAAAGTCCTCTGAACTGCCTTGCAAGGCGCCATACAAGACCAATATAATAAATTAGTCGTTTAACCTAAAACTAACATTGCGATCAAAATATCTGCTTATAATAGTTAAACTTCCATCAAAACGAAACATTAACATCGCACATCTCTTTTTTTTTTTGAACACTCAGTTTGAAGGAGTGTTTTCGTTTGAACGTTTCGTAAATGACTGAAAAACAATATACACTACTCAAAAAAAGTAAGTGGACAAGAAAGAATCCAAAATTTTTCGGAGATTTTTGAGTGAAAGATGGTCGTACCTAAACTTTAAAAAAAGAATTTGGAAGCGTTAAGATTCTAGTTTTCACTCTTTTTAGCCGAAAAATTTCAGGAGCAACGGTTCTCATGAAACTGTTACAGATAGAGAAAATTATTTTTGAGGTAGCTAAATATCGAGATAAATATAAAATATCATAATTTATTGAATTTGAGTCTTATTAAAGTCCTCTGAACTGCCTTGCAAGGCTCCATACAAGACCAATATAATAAATTAGTCGTTTAACCTAAAACTAACATTGCCATCAAAATATCTGCTTATAATAGTTAAACTTTCATCAAAATGAAACATTAACATCGCACATCTCTTTTCTTTCAACACTCTGTTTAAGGAGTGTTTTCGTTTGAACGTTTCGTAAATGACTGAAAAACAATATACACTACTCAAAAAAAGTAAGGGGACAAGAAAGAATCCAAAATTTGTCGGAGGTTTTTGAGTGAAAAATGGTCGTACCTAGACTTTAAAAAAAGAATTTTGAAGCGTTAAGATTCTAGCTTTCACTCTTTTTAGCCGAAAAATTTCAAGAGCAACGGTTCTCATGAAACTTTTACAGATAGAGAAAATTATTTTTGAGGTAGCTAAATATCGAGATAAATATAAAATATCATAATTTATTGAATTTGAGTCTTATTAAAGTCCTCTGAACTGCCTTGCAAGGCTCCATACAAGACCAATATAATAAATTAGTCGTTTAACCTAAAACTAACATTGCGATCAAAATATCTGCTTATAATAGTTAAACTTTCATCAAAATGAAATATTAACATCGCACATCTCTTTTTTTTCAACACTCTGTTTGAAGGAGTGTTTTCGTTTGAACGTTTCGTAAATGACTGAAAAACAATATACACTACTCAAAAAAAGTAAGGGGACAAGAAATAATCCAAGATTTTTGAGTGAAAAATGGTCGTACCTAGGCTTTAAAAAAAGAATTTTGAAGCGTTAAGATTCTAGTTTTCACTCTTTTTAGCCGAAAAATTTCAGGAGCAACGGTTCTCATGAAACTTTTACAGATAGAGAAAATTATTTTTGAGGTAGCTAAATATCGAGATAAATATAAAATATCATAATTTATTGAATTTGAGTTTTATTAAAGTCCTCTGAACTGCCTTGCAAGGCTCCATACAAGACCAATATAATAAATTAATCGTTTAACCTAAAACTAACATTGCGATCAAAATATCTGCTTATAATAGTTAAACTTTCATCAAAATGAAACATTAACATCGCACATCTCTTTTTTTCATCAGTCTGTTTGAAGGAGTGTTTTCGTTTGAACGTTTCGTAAATGACTGAAAAACAATATAC